CAATAGCCAATAAATAGCATCAGCAATCCAGGGTTTATATACATCATTGGGTCAGCCTGATTACAACAAAAATACCAATACATTCCCTGCTGCTTTGTTTCTTACAAGACTACAGTATCAACACCTCATTGTCATAATAAATATGTCAGGTTAGAGTTTCCTTAGAAGTTTTAATGATACCTACAGCTCTGCTAGGCACCATATGCAATTACTACACACCTGACATGTACGATCAGTCTAATCAAATAAAATAAAATCACATTTTATTGGTCACATACACATGTTTAGCAGATGTTATTGCGGGTTTAGTGAAATGCTTGTGTTCCTAGCTCCAACAGTGCAGTAATATCTAACAATTCACAACAATACACATAATACACACAATCTAAAAGTAAAATAATGGAATTAAGAAATATATAAATATTAGGACGAGCAATGTCGGAGTGGCATAGACTAAAATACAGTAGAATAGAATACAGTATATTCATATGAGATGAGTAAAGCAAAAATATGTAAACATTATTAAAGTGACTAGTGTTCCATTATTAAAGTGGCCAGTGATTTCAAGTCTATGAATATAGGGCAGCAGCCTCTAACGTGCAGGGTTACGTAACCGGGTGGAAGTCTGATGGCCTTGAGATAGAAGCTGTTTTTCAGTCTCTCGGTCCCAGCTTTGATGCACCTGTACTGACCTCGCCTTCTGGACGATAGCCCGAGCTTAATGATGAGCTTGGAGGGTACTATGGTGTTGAATGCTGAGCTATAGTCAATGAATACCTCCGTGCCCATGATCTAATGTCCACTTTTGACTGGTGAGAAATTAGCTACGGTAGGAGCAAGGATAATGGCCACCACATGTTGTCTGGTAAACTGGGGCAGGGATGAAATTATGTAGAAAATGAAATCTAATTCTATTATCACTCAGCAAAATGTATATTGTACCTTTTGCACCTAAAGCTATTGTAGGCAGACTATGGCTAATGTAAAAGCAATTTCCTTTATATGTCATATCAGTGGAGGCTGCTGAGGGGAGGACGGCTCATAATAATGGGTGGGACAGAGTGAATGGAATGGCCTCCAAGCATGTGTTTGATGTATTTGATGCAATTCCACTGATTCCACTCCAGCAATTAACACGAGCCCGTCCTCCCCAATTTTAGGTGCCACCAACCTCCTGTGCGTCGTATTGCTTTATATAACCGATACTCAAAATATGTGTGCCACAGACTTCCTTTGTAAACATATTTGCACTGTTTCTTTACAGAATGGTCTAATGTGTAATCTCTATCTAAGACGCAGTGAGGACTGCCTGCCAGACACCCTTAACCCTAATTGTCACTCCACTGGTGAAAATGTCATTGGATTTGCCAAAAATGAATCACTGTGGTACTAATACAGCCTGTTGTCAGTGCCTAGCGCCACCACAGTATGGACACTAGCAATGGGTTCACTCTCTTTAACCACCGGAGTCCTGGAGTGACCCACAGGAAATTGGAGGAGTGGCCTAGGCTACAGCAGCACATTCTACACCAGCAACACCAGCAACAAAAATGTGTGCTGTTGGGGGTACTCAAGGACTGGAGTTGGGAACCACTGTTATACACTACACAAAGTCTTTCCCAATCCTTCAGCATGCCTTTCACAGCACAACTACAATTTGATTTCAGATATGAGGTCAGACACCTTCCAGTCCTTATAGACCAGGGGTACTCAACTCTTACCCTACGAGGTCTGGAGCCTGCTGGTTTTCTGTTCTACCTGATAATTAATTGCACACGCCTGGTGTCCCAGGTCTAAATCAGTCCCTGATTAGAGGGGAACAATAAAAAAAATGCAGTGGAACTGGTTTTGAGATCCAGAGTTGAGTTTGAGGGCTATAGACTGTAGGATGAGTTGTGACCCAAAAGATCACAGTAAAGGTTAAACGTTGAATTGATGTTAAATAGATTACCGGTCAATTAATAGAATATTGATTTACTTGTATTCTGGTCAAAGCACACACATAATTAGAATTCCATTTCCAAGACTGTCTTCTGTAAGAAACCATGAAACAATAATTATCTAAGTGCAATCTGATGGCAACATTAAGTGAATGGTCCACAAGACACTGATGGTCCTTGCCTCTGGATATCGTCAGGACAGGAGCTCCTAACCTGTCCAAATATATGGCAACTGGATAAACCTAATAGAATCTCTGGCAAAAAAACCTGCTGACACTAATCTGTTGTCGTAACAACCACAGCCCCCACCCCATCCTCAGCAAGGCTGCTCACACTAATATCCCTTCATTACACCAGGATGCCCTCCTGAGGTCCAGCAAGGGGATATTTTTGACACATGAGGCATGGCTTGTAACTGTGAAATTTGAACCCCAAAAAACACCACACAAACATGTCAGGTAGCAAGCAGTAATGGCCTAGATAGAAGACTCATCCAGATCCATATCTACTGAATTAGCCCCCCAAAGAAGAGAATCACTCTGAGAAGGTATAACAGTGAAAGAGAGAGCTTCAGGTCCAAATGGTTATTATCTGAGTGTAAGGATGGTGAACTGTAGTGGTTAGACTAAGATGATTAAATTCAAAGTTACAAACATGATTTGGTATGAAGCATGCATCACTTCAAACATAATGCTGTGACTAGCACGCCAGTTAGGCCTATTTGCAACAGAACATACATATCCCGTGTGCTTTCCCTCTTTATAGATGTTAGGTTAATTATGCATTCTCTTGCCATGTCAACAATTAGGTTGCTGGCGGGTCCAACACCCATCACCAACACTAGCAAAAACAACGACACCAATAACAACACTTTGGTCATTATTATAGAGCAGGACTGCCCAACCCTGTTCCTGGAGAGCTACCGTCCTGTAGGTTTTTACTCCAACCCTAATCTAGCACACCTGATTCTAATAATTAGCAAGTAGATAAGATGAATCAGGTTAGTAACACCTGGGGTTGGAGCGAAAACCTACAGGAGGGTTGCTCTCCAGGAACAGGGTTGGGCAGGATCTGGTGAGCGGTTCATCCATTGAAGAAGTGTCCACTGACACCTAAATGGACAGTAAAAGAGAGGAGACCAGTTTCACCACTCTGAAAGTAAATAAATAATAATTATCTGTTGAATACTGCAAAACAGTGGTTGCCTAATTTAATTTCAAATCTAGAGAATTAAAATAGGGTTTCAAAGTGTAAGAAAACAGAAGAGTCACTCTACATAATCATATAACAAAAGTGGGCTAGCCTAAATGTCTGGGTAGTACCAATAACTGACTCTAAAGCAGGTGAATTGGACTCCCAATATACAGTGTAAGGGACAACCAATATTTCATGATGAAGAAGCTGATAATACTGTGTTGACCAAAAACAGCATATTCCTATCTAACAAGTCTTTCAACATATCCTCACATTGTTCTTTAGGCTGGTACAGTACAGTTACAGCATGGCTGGCAAGCCTGACGTTGTACAACCAAAGACTTCCGGTTCATCGGCCGGTCTTGAATTGCGGTGGCATTTGGGCACGCCATTTTGGGAAAAATATTTGGGTACATCCATTCTAAATCAACTAATATGGCAGCCTAATGACTTTAACTATTTTTTACCATAAGGATAACATTGTGCCACCAGTAGGAGTAGTAACACCACTGATGCTAACATCAATGAGACATTTTAGGTTTTTGAGGATTTTCTTAAATGGAGTTCACAGAGGCTCAAATCTAAGGTCATTAACGCTTGAACAAATAATAATTAAATAAATTTTGCTCACAATGTTATTTCCCTTCATTTAAATTGAGTAACACCAACTGACACTTTGGATTTAGACACACCAAATTATCAATGGAATCCTCAAATTCATAACCTACTAAAAGGGTGCGATTAGCAAATAAATATATTTAATATAGACCACCCCGCCGATAACAGTTTGCCACTGGAGGGAATGCTCAAGGTCCTTGTCTAGCTTTGTAATGAGTGATTTTCAAGGCGGTAACACCAATGACATAAAACTGAGGGACAGACATTATACTAGTACATTTTATTTTATTTTAATAGCCTTCTTTGTTTTTATTGATCTATACAATATATTAAATACTTTTGTTCACTTTCTAGCATTCAAAATAATAGATATCTCTAAATCCCCAAAACATGTCTCTACAACTCTACACTCTATCATAACTGGGACAAGACAATTTGCTTACCCTAAGTACTTTAAGCAATGCATAAACAATGTTTGCAGTATAAAGGAATTACCATATGTTTTATCATTGATCAATAGTTTAATATAAACAAAAACATGTATGATGTGTAAGTATGTGTCATTTTAAAGTGCTTTCATGGTTGCAAAGGCAAGGGATGCAAATGCCCCCACAATTCAAGAACAACCCTCATCATACAGGATTATCCCTGTGTGCTTCCCAATAATATCTCCTTTCTCCTGAAGTGTGCACTCGTTCACTACTTCCCACAAATCTAAAAGCATGGAATTGGCAGAGGCATGGGCTGGTGAGAGTTTCCACAATATTTCTTATACCAGTCATTTTCTTTCATATCGGTGAAGGGGAGTGCACTGCACACTTTAGGTGGAAGGAGAGATAATTGGGACATGGCCCATGTGGGCGTCATGTTTATTGTGAGGACAAAGCGCCCCCTTGTGTTCACATTTTTAAACAGCACTGTACCAGAAATGGTTTGTATAATATAGTTATGAACCACTTAAAACTCCCCATGAAAAGGTACTAGTTAGATCCATTTACTTGATGGTTATGGTGATTGTGTGGGATACCAACAACAATCACATTAGGAAAGTAAACAAAGCTAAATTCAAACATCACTTTTCTCGCTCAGTTTCTTGAGAAAACATATACTGTATGTAATTTGGACTATAAATGAGGAGGGACTGTGAAGTGGTCTGGTATGTTGGACCACCTTGGTTAGAAGATGCACAAAGTCGATCCTCTTTGGTCCAATCACAGGACACGATGTATTTCTGACGTACTTCCGTGCATGTGATGAACTGTCATGGCAGCCCACATGCGTATCAAAATTGTGTAAAGGATACCTGTTCAATTGAACAAATTATCTCATGTTAGCTTTTACTCGAATATGAGACATTTACTGAGGCTTGGGCCCTCGCTGGCAAGACTAAATGTGCGGTTGTGCCACCAACGCGTCTGGAACAGCCATGGAACGATACGAAAAGTGGGAGTGGACTTGGGTGAGAAGTAAGTTGACATCTGACTTTGCTAGCTTCATAGCTTGCTAATAACATAACGTTACACAGTGACAACCAGTCAAGCCTGTGGGTCAAGGTTTCAAGTTCATTATTCAACGCAGTGGTGTGCTTGTTGGTTTCAAATTGTCATAGTCTGAGTCAGATATATTTAATAATAATAATAATAATAATAATATGCCATTTAGCAGACGCTTTTATCCAAAGCGACTTACAGTCATGCGTGCATACATTTTTGTGTATGGGTGGTCCCGGGGATCGAACCCACTACCTTGGCGTTACAAGCGCCGTGCTCTACCAGCTGAGCTACAGAGGACCACCATTTATAAGAAGGAATATTACTTAGAATATTTCTGTCTGAGTCTTCCTAAATCTGTATTGCTGTTATGATGAATGGGTGATAGACTCCCATCAATTCACTCTAACCTCAGATGTTTTCTGATTTCCCCTCTTTTAAAGAAAACTTGAGATCTCAACAGGGAAACTTGCCAGATTTGCAGATGGGTCGGCTGTTGTGCAGGTAACTATATTTCTGAATTACTTTTGAGAGTTTGTAAATGAATATGCACAAGATGTTCAGACCAGTTACTCAGATGCATTCCACCTCTTTATCCAGCTTGGGGATACAACAGTGATGGTGACAGCTGTCAGCAAAACAAAACCGTCCCCCTCACAATTTATGCCACTAGTGGTAAGTTAATGCTCCTGTTTTTTTAAGTGGGATCGTATTAATTTATTTCAATTGAATTTATTTCAATTGAAAACCTGCTTTTAGTATTCCATGCAGGATTGTTCATTATGTGTAATGATCTCTTTAGTGTATTGGGCTATTACATAGTGTTTTCAGGTCCCTTGGAGTAATTCAGGTCCCTTGACTAGAGCTGTGTGTTTTTGATTGACAGGTGGACTACAGACAGAAAGCAGCTGCTGCTGGTAGAATCCCCACTAACCACCTGCGGCGGGAGTTGGGCACCACTGAAAATGAGATTCTGACTAGTAGGCTAATAGGTGAGAAGATTATTCTAACTCCTATCCCATAAGTTCCATCAATGCGGTGACTTTTGATATGTGTAACTTGGTAAAAAAAAAAAAAAAAATGATTTCACCTCATTTTTACATTCTGTCATAAAGAGAACATGTTCAACTTAATAAAAAACATGTTTTCCCATCTCAAGAGGTTAAATCATAAATGACTATAGTGAGTGCCTATTAAGTGCCGAATAAAGTAACAGTGTTGACAATTTCATCTTAAATCAGCCATAAATCCTCTTGTGACAGGGGAAATGGAAGCTTGTTGTCAAAGTAGTGACTCGCTCCTGCAGGTTCATGCTCTACAACATCCATAGAGTACGACCCAACCTCACACAGGAAGCGGCACAGGTCCTAAACCAGGCACTTGTCCTCTCCCGTCTCGACTACTGCAACTTGCTGTTGGCTGGGCTCCCCGCTTGTTCCATGAAACCCCTGCAACTTAGCCAGAACGCTGCAGCCCGCCTGGTTTTCAACCTTCCCAAGTTCTCTCATGTCACCCCACTATTCCGCACACTCCACTGGCTTCCAGTTGAAGCTTGCATCCACTACAAGACCATGGTGCTTACCTATGGAACAGCAAGAGGAACTGCCCCTCCCTACCTCAGGCTATGCTCAAACCCTACACCCCAACCCAAGCACTCGGTTCTGCCACCTCAGGTCTCTTGGCCCGGTCACCCATACGGGAGGGAAGCTCCTGCTCAGCCCAGTCAAAGCTCTTCTCTGTCCTGGCACCCCCAATGGTGGAACCAGGTTTCCCCTGAAGCTAGGACAGCAGAGTCCCTGACAACCTTCTGAAAACATCTGAAACCGTACCTCTTTAAACAGTATCTTAAATAATCCTCCTCCTCACCTCGACCCCCCCCCCCTTGAATACAAGCTTCACAAACAAAATGAAATGGTCTTTTTTAGCCTGTCTGTCTATGGGTAACAGGGTTGATGTGTTATGCTCGACCCACTCAGTGTTCCACCAGAAAATGGCCAAAAAGAGTAGAACCAGCTCACCTGCTTTTACACTATGATTTAACTATTAGATGTTCAATGTTTCTTTTGGAAAAAAATATTTTAAAAGGAGTAGTTTCACCATATTAAACGAGAGTTCAGTTCACGTAACAGGGTTGACCATAAAATTAACGTGTTTGTGTGTTTTTTTTACCTTAAAATGAATCGCTAATCACATGAAATAAATAATCTTCATAAATGACAACAAAATAACTAGGGGTTTACAATGATGGAGAAATGTTTGGGGTAAGTGGGTTAAAATCTTCCTGGAATTCAGAGGGTGCACAGCGGGACATGTCAAAAAGTCTTTATTCATATTAATAATCGGATTTATTAAATTCTCCTTGTCGTCTATATTAAAAGGCACTTAATTGAATATAACAGGCTTTTAAAATTCAATATTGGTTCACATTTTCTACCTAAAATATCAAAGGCACTAATTTTGTGGAACAACCCAACTGTTACTCTAGAATTAGAATTAATCCAATACCATTAGCAGACTTTTAACTGTATCCTTTTTTGCTGTCTCACCTCAGACAGGGCAATCAGACCCCTTTTTCCTGCTGGTTATTTCTATGACACTCAGGTGAGTCATCATGTGTAGCTAATGTTATAATAACAGTGTATTTACACTGTTATTACAAGCTATGCTCTTGATTGTAATACTGCTATGTATATTTTCAGGTCCTGTGTAACCTGTTGGCAGTTGATGGCGTAAATGATCCAGATGTACTGGCCATTAATGGAGGTGAGGAGAGATTGATTTCCTTGTAGAAGCAGTCACATTACCTTTGTTTGGCATCCAGTGATTAAATAAACTATGTCTCATCCCTACAGCCTCTGCTGCCCTTTCCCTGTCTGACATTCCCTGGAATGGGCCCATTGGTTAGTATCTCTTACAGACCTGTGTCCTTTTTTCTTTCTTTGTTGCAGAGCGTGTGGCTTTAACCGTATGGTCTGTGTTTCTTGGATGTTTAGGTGCAGTGCGCATTGGCCTGGTGAATGGAGAGTTTCTGGTGAACCCAACACGAAAGGAAATGGCTTCCAGCACTATCAACCTGATAGTGGCTGGAGCACCTCTCAGCCAAGTGGGTTAGTAGTCCATCTATATCACACATCCATTTTTCCTACAGTCCTCTCTCTTCTACCTTAATATCTATAGTAGAATGTTACAGTGTGTGTTATGCCATATTCAGTCTCTGTAAAAAAACAAACACGTATTGTTTATGTTTTAGTGATGATCGAGGCATCTGCTGAGAATGTGTTGCAGCAGGACTTCTGTCATGCAGTCAAGGTTGGCGTGAAGCACACACAGCAGATCATACTGGCTATTCAGCAGATGGCCAGAGAAGCAAAGGTGTCCAAGCGCACCCCTCCCAAAATCTTTTCTGCTCCTGCGGTAATGATTGAGCATACACGACAGTAAGGCATAACATTTCTGTTTTAATATTTCTCATATCTGTCATGTTTTTTTTATTGATGGTAACATGACAGCACACGGTTTTGCTTTCAGGTTGGCCTCTGAAAAGGTCTACGCTGTTTTCACAGACTTCACTCATGACAAAGTAAGTATTTATGTCTGGGTGTTTTTGCTATTGTGTTTTGGTGGTACTTTTTCATTCAGTAAGATTAGTAACTTATTGTGTCCTTTCAGATTTCCAGGGATGATGCCATTAACAAAGTAAGGCTTGAAACAGAGGAACAAATAAAAGGTATATATCATTGCTATATACCAAATAAATGTTTGCAACTTTCAAGGTCTTGTGAGTGGTTGTTTACTGTCTAATTGCCTAAGTATGTCTGTATTCTGTAGAGAAATATCCTCAAGCAGAACCTTATGAGGTGATGGAGTCCTTCAACATGGTATCAAAAGAGGTTTTCCGCAATCTGGTTTTGAACGAATACAGGAGGTAAAAAGAACGCATGTCTCAGTAGTATTTAGCAAATTGTCATGAATACATGACCAACATATGTGATTGATGAATACTGTGTGGTTTGGAACAATAAAATAGTTTCCTTGTTTACCTTGTTTTACAGGTGTGATGGAAGAGACCTGACTTCATTGAGAAATATTTCCTGTGAGGTGGACATCTTTAAGCCCCTTCATGGGTCGGCACTTTTCCAGAGGGGACAGACACAGGTAGGGATCTGGCGTTATAAAGAAGTAGGTTCAGAGTAGGCATCCTATTCATTTTGGGGACATTGGAAAGTATTGACGGAGTCTGATTTGTTTTGGGTTGTTTGTCATATCTTTAGCCTACTTAATAAAGCCATTTCTATCTAGGTTCTGTGCTCTATAACATTTGACTCCTTGGAGTCTAGTATTAAAACAGACATCATTACTACAGCGTTAAGGTAAACTTACACTTTATAAATTACGGTCCTCTTGAATGCAAATTTCAAGCAAGTCTTAATACAATTTATATGTAGGTTAGATTAAACTAGTTGCTCTCTTTTAACAGTGGAGTCAAAGACAAGAATTTCATGCTTCACTATGAGGTGAGTATCACATTTAACAAATACGCAGGATTCAAGGAGGATTTGCTTATTAGTTTGGTATTGCACAAAAAAAACATCTGAATGGGCTGAAATTATATTTTTCTATTTCAGTTTCCACCTTATGCAACCAATGAGATTGGAAAGATGAGTGGAATGAACAGAAGAGAGCTTGGTCATGGTTAGTATGTTGGCATAGATTAGACGACGCGTGGGTAGTGTGGGTGGCATGGCTAAATTGATGTGACTATTAAAATCATATTCTGCTTCTATGGTGACAGGGGCACTGGCTGAGAAGTCTTTGAGACCTGTCATCCCCAAAGACTTCCCCTTCACTATTAGAGTTACCTCTGAGGTTCTGGAGTCTAATGGTGAGTTCTATGGATGACTTCCATTTTCCTTGTAAATTTTTAGACTATGACTTATTATAAGCTTAGTTGCCAAATCTTAGTCATTTCATTGACTGTATGATTAGCCCCCGCTCTTTCTTTCTCTCACACACACTCATTCTCTCAGGGTCCTCGTCTATGGCATCAGCATGTGGAGGCAGTCTGGCTTTGATGGATGCTGGTACAGTACTTAATGTTTTTGAAGTGGAAAATTAAAAATGTAATTTGATAATGTTGTTGATGATCCTTCTGTTTGCAGTGAAACGTAGCACTTTTGTGTTCCAGGTGTTCCTATTTCATCAGCTGTGGCAGGTGTTGCTGTTGGACTCATATCCAAGGCAAACCCAGAGAAGCCATCAGAAATCCAGGACTACCGAATATTGACTGATATTCTGGTACCCAATATTACTAGTATTTTTCTCACCAATCCTACATTCGTACTGTAATAATGGGATCCCCTGTAGAACTGTTTTATTTGTGTTTTCTGTCACAACAGGGAATAGAGGATTACCTAGGAGACATGGACTTCAAACTGGCTGGAACAAACAAGGGTATCAATGCCTTACAGGTACTGTAGCTGAACGTCCAGTGGTTTCTCTATTCTGTCGTTTTTTGTTGACTGTATTTATTTTTGCTATAATGTATGCCGCCTCCTTCTAGGTTGATGTGAAGATTCCAGGCTTACCGCTGAAACTTGTAATGGAGGCTATTCAGCAAGCCACAGGTGAAATGAAAGACATTCCCCAGAAATATATTGTTTATGTCACTATAAAATATCGCAGTCACCAATCCTCATTTCATTCTCATATCCTTACAGTTGCCAAGAGGGAGATTTTGGGCATCATGAACAAGACCATTGCGAAGCCAAGGGACAAAAGAAAGGAGAATGGCCCAGTTGTCGGTAAGATTCTCTTGGTGTCTAGTCCTTATTTGATTCCCATCATTTATGTATTTTCCTTTAAAGGAATGTTTCCTGTCTGTTGCAGAAAATGTCAGAGTCCCTGTCTCCAGACGAGCACGCTTTGTTGGGCCAGGGGGCTATAACCTCCGTAGACTACAAGCTCAAACAGGTAACATTTTAATATTCTAAAACAACATTCTAACTCAATTTGTGTCCACACCAACAAGCTCTCTTCATAGGTGCATAGTGTATGGGAAAATGACAGGTTGTTTTGTGTCATTGGATAGGTGTGACGATAAGCCAGGTGGACGAGGAGACCTTCTCTGTGTTTGCACCTACTCCTGGTGCCATGAATGAAGCCCAGGAGTTCATCACAGAAATCTGCAAGGATGATGTAAGTCCAACCTAGTCTAATTCCACTGTATTGCCTAATTTCTTACCATTCCTTAATGCATTTTGATGTACTATTAGTTAAACATAATTGTACTATAGACCCATTTCCCGGCCGCGTCATAAAGTTTTGCACGCTGTTCGTCTTTAAAAACCTCTTTGTTTACCTAGCAGTGGATACGATCACGTGCAACTTCAAATGCACGTGATTAGATGGTTATCGTCTACAACATTGCAGATGTCATCAGAGGATTGATTACCTAGCAAGCCAGCGAGGCTTGGTCAAAAATCACAAATAGAGCTAGATAAAGCCAGAAGAATAATATACTGTACTTGTTGAACATAGCTATAGCCATCAGTCTTGCATGTTTTCATGGTCATCACTCACTTACTGTTAAGTTTGTCAAGGTCCCGACATCAGCATTTGCTATCCTGCTACAGAGGTTTTTGATGTTGGGATGCGCGCCTTACTCGAACATGACGTTTGATGGTAAACAGAAAAGGGCTCTATATTAGCTCTCAAAACTCTAGGCGGCATTCTGCCTTCTCCCTACAGTTCTCAGCCATTAGCGTCGCCCACGACTGCCTCATGTGAACTACAATCCCGATGCTGTGGTTTAACGTTTAGAAACATCTATAATCATCGCTTGCGATAGGGCTTTCCAAACATATGGCCCTTATCTTTCATCAGCGAGAAAAATTCCTTAAAATAAAAAACACTTACTGTAGCAGTTTTGCATAGATCCATACAGCTATGGGTGCCTCCATCCGACGAAACTACACTTCCGCTACACTTCCCGAGTTATGCTTACACACAGGTGTTCGGAGCATGCTAGATAGCTCATTAGCACAGGTGGTCGCCTCTTGTCTTCCGTCTGTTTTCCATAAACAAACTCTGTAACATGGAGATGTGGGAACACTAACCCTAACCGTATCAAGATATGTATCAATTTAACCTTTTGTGTTTAGAACATTATTTCTTGCTGAAATGAAAGATAAGTTCCTTATGCTTCCAAAACTTTACCGCAAGCGATGCATGTTAATGTTCATACCGAGTGTCTGGGATCTTAACAAAACTTCCCCCTACAGAAGACTCCTTCGTCCAGTGGCTCTTATGTGTAATGTAATGGAACTGAGAGTCATGATCAAGGGCAAGGATCTACAGTGAGGGGAAAAAAGTATTTGATCCTCTGCTGATTTTGTACGTTTGCCCACTGACAAAGACATGACCAGTCTATAATTTTAATGGTAGGTTTATTTGAACAGTGAGAGACAGAATAACAACAACAAAATCCAGAAAAACGCATGTCAAAAATGTTATAAATTGATTTGCATTTTAATGAGGGAAATAAGTATTTGACCCCCTCTCAATCAGAAAGATTTCTGGCTCCCAGGTGTCTTTTATACAGGTAATGAGCTGAGATTAGGAGCACACTCTTAAAGGGAGTGCTCCTAATCAGTTTGTTACCTGTATAAAAGACACCTGTCCACAGAAGCAATCAATCAATCAGATTCCAAACTCTCCACCATGGCCAAGACCAAAGAGCTCTCCAAGGATGTCAGGGACAAGATTGTAGACCTACACAAGGCTGGAATGGGCTACAAGACCATCGCCAAGCAGCTTCGTGAGAAGGTGACAACAGTTGGTGCGATTATTCGCAAATGGAAGAAACACAATAACTGTCAATCTCCCTCGGCCTGGGGCTCCATGCAAGATCTCACCTCGTGGAGTTGCAATGATCATGAGAACGGTGAGGAATCAGCCCAGAACTACACGGGAGGATCTTGTCAATGATCTCAAGGCAGCTGGGACCATAGTCACCAAGAAAAAATTGGTAACACACTACGCCGTGAAGGACTGAAATCCTGCAGCGCCTGCAAGGTCCCCCTGTTCAACAAAGCACATATACAGGCCCGTCTGAAGTTTGCCAATGAACATCTGAATGATTCAGAGGAGAACTGGGTGAAAGTGTTGTGGTCAGATGAGACCAAAATCTAGCTCTTTGGCATCAACTCAACTCGCCATGTTTGGAGGAGGAGGAATGCTGCCTATGACCCCAAGAACACCATCCCCACCGTCAAACATGGAAGTGGAAACATTATGCTTTGGGGGTGTTTTTCTGCTAAGGGGACAGGACAACTTCACCGCATCAAAGGGACGATGGACGGAGCCATGTACCGTCAAATCTTGGGTGAGAACCTCCTTCCCTCAGCCAGGGCATTGAAAATGGGCCGTGGATGGGTATTCCAGCATGACAATGACCCAAAACACATGGCCAAGGCAACAAAGGAGTGGCTCAAGAAGAAGCACATTAAGGTCCTGGAGTGGCCTAGCCAGTCTCCAGACCTTAATCCCATAGATAATCTGTGGAGGGAGCTGAAGGTTCAAGTTGCCAAATGTCAGCCTCAAAACCTTAATAACTTGGAGAAGATCTGCAAAGAGGAGTGGGACAAAATCCCTCCTGAGATGTGTGCAAACCTGGTGGCCAACTACAAGAAACGTCTGACCTCTGTGATTACCAACAAGGGTTTTGCTACCAAGTACGAAGTCATGTTTTGCAGAGGGGTCTCGTACTTATTTCCCTCATTAAAATGCAAATCAATTTATAACATTTTTGACATGCGTTTTTCTGGATTTTGTTGTTGTTATTCTGTCTCTCACTGTTCAAATAAACCTTCCATTAAAATTATAGACTGATCATGTCTTTGTCAGTGGGCAAACGTACAAAATCAGCAGGGGATTAAATACTTTTTTCCCTCACTGTATATCATCCAAAAGGCTATGCTTACCCACATTTACTTTTTTGCATGGCAGCAAGAGCAGCAGCTGGAATTTGGTGCTGTTTACACTGCCACCATCATGGAAATAAGGTACCCAATGTTATGTGTTATTGGAGGATGCTGTTTAATCTAATATGATGCAGCTACAGCCTGTGGTTTTTAAACATAGGACTGATTAAACATTGGATTGCTACATTCTGTCTCCCTTCCGCCACAGGGACATTGGTGTCATGGTGAAGCTGTATCCCAACATGAGTGCCGTTCTGCTCCATAACTCTCAGCTGGACCACAAACGGGTAAGAGTCTAGCCCCAGAATACCATGCAGGGGTCACAGGACCCTCTACACAGATTATGTTTTACAGATGTTACCATTTTGGAAAGGGCTGCATGTGTTGGCTTGTTTTCTGTTTATTCATGTCATTTATGTTTCAGATAACATTTTTGACAGAGTGAAATAATTGTAAACTCTGAATTTGTCCAGATAAAACACCCAAGTGCTCTTGGATTAGAGGTTGGACAGCAGATTCAGGTAATGTGTTGGAGTAGGATCATTCTTCTGACCTTTAGTTGTTAATCTGATTGACTTCTTGACTAACATTTTTTCTCTGATGGAACTTTGCCAACAGGTTAAATACTTTGGGCGAGACCCAACAGATGGAAGAATGAGGCTTTCGAGGAAGGTGTTACAATCTCCAGCAGCAACAGTTGTTAAGACACTGAGTGAAAAGCAGAGCATCAACATGGGCACAGGGAATGGCCAAGCGACCAGCACCTCCTCTTGACTCCCCTTGTCCTCCTAGACTGTGTGACCAACTGTCCATGACCATGCATCTCAAGGACACTCTGCATTCCCCCTGACTTCACTGAACTACTGTTTCTCTTTACTCACCAACATCCTCCAATCACCAGTTACTGTACTCTCATTCTCTGGTGATTTCAGCAATGATATCAGATCGGTGGCCATACTATTGAGTTTATATGCTGTCAATTTCTGTTAATCTATTTTATACAATGTGTAATAAATATGTAAATTAACAATTTTAATTGTTTTAAATTGAATTGACTTAAAGCTGTGACCGCTCATACCATATTCCAATCTTCTACATACTCATTGTTTTAGTTGTAAAATATTTAGAGTTGGCGTCTTTTATTGAAATCAACAGCATTATTTTTATTAACTTTTTTTTTGCCAAGGACAGACTATAACAGGTCTGTCTGTTTCGATAATGCCACAATAACACACCGGTTTCCGTAGCCCCTCAGAGGAGACCCCGCGGCGGTACGTTTGGATGACGTAGGGAAGAAAAAGACAAGATCAGATTACAAGATGGCGGTCTCTGGACGATAGTGAAGAGGCCGTCGTAGTTGTGTTCTCAACTGTGAATTTTACAGGTAGCTAGCTAGAAATCGTCATTCTGCGGGGGATATAAATAATAATAATCATCGTAATATGCTCGTGAATTAGCTTTACGTTTTAGCACATTATTGCGAATCATACTCAGATGTGTCTGAAACATGCGGGTAGAAACAAAGTTTGAAGCTCGGGGATAAGGAAATAGCTAGGCAACTATTTGAAAGAGTGAACCAGTGGCTAGCTAACGTTAGATTGTTAGCTTTTCCGCTCAAGGTAACCATGTCGGATACTCGGCGGCGTGTGAAAGTATATACGCTTAATGAAGACCGGCAGTGGGACGATAGGGGCACAGGACATGTCTCGTCTACCTTTGTCGAACGACTGAAGGGAATATCATTATTAGTTCGGGCGGAATCCGACGGTGAGTTGCTAACTAACATGTCTTATTAGCAGATGGTCAGATAGCTCGTCACTTACGTTTGTTTTGTTCGTAACGCAGCTATCTAACGTTAGTTGGCTGGTAACATCAACTAACACAGGCCACAGATGCAATAACTCAACATCGCGAACTAGTTTAAGAATCAGCTACTGTAGCTAACTAAATCAGCCAACTGAACTAACTAGCTAACTGTTATGATCTTGCTAACGTTAGTAACGTACAATAACTGCTGCCGGTGTGAATAGGTTATTCTAGCCAACTAACGAGCTACATCACACTATATTGCTAATGCTAGTTTGCTACTGTTAGTTAGCTAACGTTATCTATTTAGTTAGTTAAATTAACTAGCTGGTTAGCTAACTGGGTAGTTAGCCAATGTTCAACGTTTACTTGTATTAACGCTACATAGTGATGGTTGGCCTTGAAGATGAAATACAAATCAGCAAAACAAATTGCTTAAAAGGTAGCTCGTTAGCTAATTAGGTAGCTATAAACGAAATAAACAGCTAGCATGATTTCCTCAAACCAGCTTCTTAGCTAACTAACCTAGTTAGATGGCTAGTTAGCCAATGCTTGGAAGTAAAATGTGGTTGAACTAACTTGCTTTGTAATCCTGATTTTCATTTCAATACTTATTTTTATAGCTATCTTGGTACATAACTAGGTAACCTTGGTACACTTAAAATATTGTATCCAGCTAGCTGACGAGCTAGCCAGCCAACTAAGCTAGTTAACTACCCGGTCAAATGTTAGTCAACTTGCTAGTTTTAGCTAGGTAGCTAGCTAGTAAACTCACTTGGCTAACTTGTTAATAAATAAAGGGGCATTTGTTTGCCAGCCAAAAACATACATTCTGTAAGCTAATTTGTGGGTAGTTGTCCTTGTTTACGTGCACAGTTCATGTCAGTAAAGGTGTGGTGTTCAGGTTTCAGCAGTAATTGTTAGTCTTACAACAGCCATCTTATTTGAAGAACATGTTCTTTCACACCCATGTGACTGAATTATCCAGTTCTGTACTATAATTTTGCTAACATTTAGGCAGCAACTAATTATTTCAATAAGGTAGTGGGTAGCTAACTAAATTCCTATTTGTCTTTTAGGCTCACTTCTTCTGGAGTCTAAAATCAGCCCAAATACTGCATATCAGAAACAACAAGTGAGTATTCTGCCTCTGTAACAGGCAGGTTAGCGTTTTCGTCATTAGTCTTGTTCTGGAGGCAGCTGTGCAGTGGGCACTAGCTGGCACAGCCACAGTAATACAATCTGATTTGAAATCTAACCTTAACCACACTGCTAACCCTAATGCCTAACCCTGACCAAAAAGCTACTTTTTTTCCCTCATGAATTTTTACAATGTAGACAATTTTGACTTTGCAGCTGACTATGGGGAAATCGCTCAGTTCTGCCTCCAGGACAAGGCTCATGACAATATGTAAACCTGTCTATAGTGGACTGCTGTGTACAGTGCCTTCAGAAAGTATTCATACCCCTTGACTTATTCTACATTTTGTTGTTACAGCCTGAATTCAAAATTGATTAAATCTTTTTTTCTCTCACCCATCTACAACCAATACTCCATAAAGACAGTGAAAACATGTTTTTAGAAATGTTTGCACATTTATTGAAAATGAAATACAGAAATATCTACTTTACATAAGTATTCACAACCCTGGGTCAATTCATGTTAGAATCACCATTGGCAACGATTACAGCTGTGACTCTTTCTGGGCAAGTCTTTAAGAGCTTTGCACACCTGGATTGCGCAATATTTGCCCATTTATTATTTTATAAATTCTTCAAGCTGTCAAATTGGTTGTTGATCATTGCTAGACAACCATTTTCAAGTCTTGCCATATATTTTCAAGTAGATTTAAGTCACAACTGTAACTTGGCCATCTCGGGAACATCCACTGTCTTCTTGGTAAGCAACTCCAGTGTAGATTTGGCCTTGTGTTTTAGGTTATTGGCCTGCTGTAAGATTAATTGAAGACTGAACCAGGTTTTCCTCTAGGATTTTGGCTGTGCTTAGCTCAGTTTCTGTTTTATCCTGAAAAACTCCCAGTCCTTAACTATTACGAGCACACCCATAACATGATGCAGCCACCACTATGCTTGAAAATATGGAGAGTGGTACTCAGTATATGTTGTATTGGATTTGCCCCAAACATAACACTTTAGAATCAGGACAATAAGTTAAATGCTTTTCCATTTTTGTTGTTGTTGCAGTATTACTTTAGTGCCATGTTGCAAACAGGATGCATGTTTTGTAAAAAAAAATTGTGGACTGGCTTCCTTATTTTCACTGCTAATTAGGTTATTATTGTGGAGTAACTACAATGTTGTTGATCCATCCTCAGTTTTCTCCTATCACAGCCATTAAACTCTGTAACTGTAACATAATGATCCTCTGTAGCTCAATTGGTAGAGCATGGCGCTTGTAACGCCAGGGTAGTGGGTTCGATCCCCGGGACCACCCATACGTAAAAATGTATGCACACATGACTGTAAGTCGCTTTGGATAAAAGCGTCTGCTAAATGGCATATTATTATTATTATAATGACATTATGGGGTATTGTGTGTAGGCCAGTGACAACAAATCTTAATTTAATCCCTTTTAAATTCAGGCTGTAACAAAACATGGAAGAAGTAAAGGGGTGTGAATACTTTCTGAAGGCACTGTATCTTCAGTGTTTTTTCTTTTCGCTGTGGGTGATCCATTTATAAAAGTAGCCTGTCAAGTTTTAATGTCACGTGCAAAAGCACAGTGAAATGCCTTTATTGCAAGCTCCAAACCCAACAATGCAGTAGGCCTAATCAGTATCAATTAGCACTAAAAATAAGATAGAACAAAAACACACGAGTAATAGAAATAAGAACATGATCAAATAAGAAGCTATATACAGGGTCAGTTCCAATACCATATTTACAATGTGTAGGGATACTGGGGTGATAAAGGTAGATATGGGTAAGGTGACTAGGTATCAGGATATATGATAAACAGAGTAGTTGCAGCGTAAATTATGATTGCGTGTGTGTAGAGTCAGTATAAATGCGTGAGGAGTCCCGATAGTGTGCACAGAGACTGTGTAAATGTGCAAGGGTCAACTCCGTCCATGTAGCCATTTTGTTAGCTATTTAGCGGTCTTATGGCTTGGGGATCGAAGCTGTTCTGGAGCCTGTTGGTGTCAGACTTGATGCACTGGTACCGCTTGCCGTGCGGAAGCAGAGAGAAGTCTATGGCTTGGGTGGCTGTAGTCTTTAATGATTTACCGGAACTACCTTTCACACTGCCTGATCGAAGTCCTGGATGGCAGGGAGCTCGGCCTAATGTATCTAAATAATTCTGCATGTGTACAGTTGCAGTTAATTTGACACAGTAAATAATGAGTGTTTTTTAATTTTTTTACTATTTCGATGCAAAGACCAGATTTACAAACCTCATTTTATGAAAATATACTTTTTTGAACTTGATCATGAGAATGGTCTTTCCCTTCTCAGGACACCCTGATCGTGTGGTCGGAAGCAGAGAACTATGATCTGGCTCTGAGTTTTCAGGAAAAAGCTGGCTGCGATGAAATCTGGGAAAAGATTTGTCAGGTATAGTACCGTGTTTAATCTATATGGCTTTGTAAATCAGTGTAAGGTTTATGATGCACTACTATACTGTTTAGTCTTTTTATGGCACCAGAAAGCACACTTTCAACTGCAGGAGCTACATGTATAGAACATGTCACAACTGTTGGTGACACATGTACACAAATAAGAAAAAAACATACTTTTGCAATAGAACATTGTCTGGAGCAACTGATTGTACCGTATTTGGTTGTTATTTGAAGCCCCAATACTATGAATAGCCATGTCTGTGCATAGTAGGTCACTGCTGCGTCTTTAGGGGCCAGTAAACAAAAATGTCTCTTACGAAACTAAACCATTTATTAATTTTAAAGTATAGAATATCATGTTACTGAAGTTTCTCTTTTGCAATATGGGACTATAGTCTTTCTCTCAGTAGTTATTACATGTGGCCCGTGTCTAATTTCCTCCCCAGGTGCAAGGGAAAGACCCTGCGCTGGAAATCACCCAGGACCCCATCGATGAGTCTGAGGAGGAGCGCTTCGAGGAGATGCCAGAGACCAGCCACCTGGTGGAGCTGCCTCCATGTGAGCTGGCTCGGCTGGAGGAGATCGCTGACCTTGTAACCTCTGTCCTGTCCTCGCCCATCCGCCGGGAGAAGCTGGCCCTGGCCCTTATGAGCGAAGGCTACATGAAGAAGCTGCTGCAGCTCTTCCAGATGTGCGAAGACCTCGACAACCGGGAGGGCCTACACCACC